AATCTGAAGAATCTGAAGAATCTGAAGAATCTGAAGAATCTGAAGAATCTGAAGAATCTGAAGAATCTGAAGAATCTGAAGAATCTGAAGAATCCGAAGAATCTGAAGAATCTGAAGAATCTGAAGAATCTGAAGAATCTGAAGAATCTGAAGAATCTGAAGAATCTGAAGAATCTGAAGAATCTGAAGAATCTGACAAGTCTGCAGACTATGAAGAATCTGAAAAGGCTGAAGACTATGAAGATTCTGAAGACTCTGAAGAAGATGTAGGATCTGAAAAATCCGAAGGATGTGAATAATCTGAAGGATCTGAGGAATCTGAGGAATCCTAGGAATCCAAGGTTTCCGAGGAATCCGAAGAATCCGAATAATCTGAGGAGAATCTGAGGAATCTAAAGAGTCAAAAGAACTTGAAGAATCTGAAGACCCTGAAGAATCTGAAGGATCTAAAGAGCATTATGCCGGTCACTCTGTAATTGGGCCCAGAACAAGGGGAGGGATAATAAATAAATAAATAAATAAATAAATAAATAAGTAAATAAATAAATAAATAATTAAATAAATAAATAAATAAATAAATAAATAAATAAATAAATAAATAAATAAATAAATAAATAAATAAATAAATAAATAAATAAATAAATAAATAAATAAATTTCCGGAGTATACCATAAAGAATGGTTAAGATCCTGGCTTCGTAGGTGATTAGTGGAGTGATGGTAGTTTTGGATCTGGAGACTCCTGTACATTTGTCCGGTTTTTCCTCAATAACTTTTATCTTACGTGCTACGCCAAAAGCATGAGTACGCATTTTTATAGAGCGTCACAGAGACGACAGAGAAAGCTGTTTGCAGTTGAGTTCCACAGAAGTGGTGATAGCACCCCACCTTAGCTTTGCTCTTCTTCGTTTCCAAATTCGAATTAACTCCAGAATGCTACCGACGCATGAACGCGCTCCTCTACTGATCTCCCGAAAATCGCGAAAAGAAATCCGGTAACGTTTTCGAGCTACGAATTTTTTCTAAAATTTTCGTTTCTCATGGCAGCTACCCCGACGGATGCCGTAGGAATGTCAATTCGTTTTGGGCCGTTGTGGAGCTCAAGACAAGGAAATCGTATTTAACACTGTCCGCCACGAACTCTAATTCAATCCAAAATACTTCCGCGTTATCGTTTTTCGCAGTTTTTTCGAATTGTTTCACCAAACAATTCGAAAAAACTGCGAAAAACGATAACGCGGAAGTATTTTGGATTGAATTAGAGTTCGTGGCGGATTTTAAAAATAAATCTACTAGAAAAGGAAAGTGCCTCAGTCATACCGAGCGCAAAAGTTCATTTTCATAACGAAGGGATTAAGTGGCGCTATTTGTGATATCACGAAGGTTTCGTATCCAAAAATTCTAAAAGCACAAGCGCACTTTTCCGGCGAGTTAGAGTAACAGTTCGATAAATAAAAGATTCTAATTCGAAAGCAGAAGTTAAAGGAGATAAATTAACAGTATCCCAAACTGCGAAAGCGAAAAGTTGGGTGATAGCAGACGATATAAGTGAAAAGTTCATTGCTCCATCATTTGCATACGAAAAGGTAGTCGTACAAATGTCCAGAAAGCTTTAGCAGTATTCCATCTGGAGATCCCGGTTGCATTCTATGATGTATGGTTTTGTAACTCCTCCAGTAAAGATTGCCGTGATAGAACTTTCATGGTAATCTTTGGGAACAGATATTTCATACCCACCGGTAATATGTTGTGACACAAAAGCCTTCAACATAATCTTTGAAGAAATCCAGTCAAATCTTCCATACACCGCTTTTCTGGGTATTAACACTAAACGTTTTGTGTAAGAACGTAATACCGGTGGGTCGCGGGGTTATGGAATTCGTGTTAGCTGAGAAGAGAGAGTACCCTTTCTTCTCGCGAAAGCACATAATTTACATAATCCCAATGGACCTTTTTCAAATTACCCGCTCTATGGTTAATTACAAAAGCGCTCAGACAATTACTTTTTGAACCACTCTCGTGAATCAAAAACGGATAGCGAGCTTCGCTCTCTGACGGCCCAAAACCGAATGCCCTCAAAATTTCTCGTCTCTGGACTTGTCCCTACCCTTTTCCATTTGACAGGACCACCCAATTTCCTTAAGCTATTAAACGGTCATCAGGCACACGTAAACCGATGGCACCTATAAATCTGTGGCATCACCCCTCGCGACCTAACTTTTCGTAACCTCCGAAATATAGAGGACGACATACACACTATAGCAACTACTTAGTTTCTAATCCCCGTTTTTTAAACGTAATGCAACGAAGTTGAGGTAACGTATGTGCTCGATTTTCTGTCGTCTGTCTGTCTGTCTACCTGTTCAATCGAGATCTCGGCCCCTGGGCCACGTAGGGCTAGAGACTTTGTGTTTTCACTAATTGATAGCTGCTATGGTCCATATTTGCCCGTTACTCATCATTTGCAGTTATGTTACGCGGCAACACCCACGAGTGGGCCTTGAAACATTTTTTTTTCTTTAACCTCTAAACAGCCCGGTAGAAAAACCGTTACGGAACCACCGAAACAGGAAGACAATTCGCACGCAAGCGCAAATGTACTTCGATAGGTTCCGCCAATCTCGAACTTCAATTTTTGTCGTATCTGTAGCGGCTATAAAAACCGACACTCACGCATTTTTAGCGTCTTGTGGTCGTCATTAAACCTACTCGGGCTTAATCGTACATATGCAAATTTCCACATTTCTAAAATTCGAAAATTTTTTTTCGAAAGGGATCGGAAAGGTGACTCCATTTCTCACTTTATACAAGTTTTGGAAAGTACTCCGCTTCCAAAACAGCTTTGGCACCGTCCAATTTCCTCTTCTTATCTGCTAGGGATGAAAGCCTTCCACCTTCCAGCAGCGCTCCCCATCCGGGTCGCACAATGGGTTCGAATAATCACACAAATGACAAAATTTGATTGAATCACATAAAAAGAACGTTAAACAAAACTTATTTGGACAAATTACCTACCTCGCTGTAACCCGTTTTGATGCCGAGACGTGTAGCAAATGTTAATGATCACTCTGTATAAGGTCAACGCGTATTTGAAACCGATATAAATTTAGGATTCGTTACAAAGAAGATTGTGGCGGCTGAGCTTATTTGTTTTGATTTAATTAATTTTCGTAATTCATAGAAAGGTGGCCTTCGATACTGTCACAAACGCAATAATTAAGTCACCATTTGAAACCGGACCGGGCAAAATATTAAAATTATTTTTGCAGCCTGAGAAAGGCGAATTAATATTTTCAAATTTCAGCGCCGTTAATTAATTACTAATCACTTTAGTTTCGAATAGTGAGTGAAAACCAGGATAGAAGCGAGTATTAGCCGTAAAAACAGTTGCGATAGAGCGATATCCCCGATTGAAATTAAATTCCACTTAGGCCTAGGTGTTAAATGGATTATCGGATATTGCAGTTTGAACGCGCCTCATTGGTTAAGTCTAATTACTGACTGACGTTATAATGAGTTGTAGAAAAACCCCCAGGCGGCGTTCAAAGTGGTCTCGAAAGAAGCGCGCTCAAAAAACTTGAAGTCTGATATCGATCCCATATTTTTCCGATATTGGGGAAAGGTGTAATTAATTAAAAACAGAATTAATTTGGATCGCTATCGTATTGAATAAAGGATTTTCCATTTACCACTTCCCAAAGAGCCGGATTTCTTTATAAGATAAACGCTTGATTTTGTGGGGATCTTTTTTGCTTTTGCATCCTCGCTAGTTACATTTGTAAATACCATATTAAATTTTGACATTTCCGTAAGTTCTTTTCCGCAACCATATCGTTCTTTGATCTTTTCGATTTTTGCACGTATCGAACTGTTGAAACTTTCCGGTAGATAACCGTACCCTATTTATTTGATTTAAATCTTTTTCTTTACTCCGCACCGTAGTTTCGCCGTAATCAATTAGTTAAAGAGGTAATCTTTAAGGCCTAGTCTTCCGTTAATTGTGGAAGAGGGGAGGAAGGGGAAAATCATTGGTCCGCTTTCCCACATGTGATTTCCTCTAGATACCGCTAATTCTCTCAAATTCTTAGCACCGTAGCCGATAGCTGCCATTTTCTTTAGCTCTCCTGAACTCTGGAACTACCGTCGTCTCCGTCTGAGTGCCTTGGGACTTCCTAAGCCGTTTTTCCTGAACCGACCTGATCAGAAGCAGGGTTTCCTTCAATCAATCAATTAGGCCAAACTCCCGAATAGAAATAGCGCGAAGAAACCTACACTTTCCAACCGTCGCGAACCAGCTCGCTTGCAGCCTCTCGCTTTCCGTATTTAACGAAAAACCGCTACCTTAATAAAATAAATCTTCTTCTTCCTGTTTTTACAGATAAAGCCTTCGACAGAACGTGTCCCCACTAATGTGCACATCGTTGAACACCTGCATTTCCGGTTATCTCTCGTAACAGCGGCAAAAAGTACGCGTCTTAATTAAATCTCAAGCGATAACGGAGACTCTTATCGCAAACGACCAGATGTTCCTACTTTTTAACACGCAATTTCATGTTACCAATCATTAAATAAACAACAATATGCACTTGCAAACAATACTAAAAGGAACGATAATACTACAGAAATACAAATTCTAGTGAAATAAACCCACGACGCATACAATGCTCGTCCAAAATAGGCAAGAAATGAGCGCGATATGGCAACTAACATGCGCAGACGATGTAGTAAAAATATGGCGGCAAAAGAAATGCAGATGAAGGAGGTTATACAACGAATGGGGTTAAATGTGGAAAGTTCGGCGATAGTGGATTTGACTCCTTGATACTCAACACCATTGCTACAGAGTTCTTTTAGGTAAACGGCGAGTTGATAAACATGAGCCTTTAAAAAAGTGATGAAACAAGGAAGTTCTACCCCTGAAAAAGGTATCTGGCCCCTCGTTCGGGAAACGAAATGGAAAAACGGCGAATGTGACGAATCTGATGTCGGTTACAAGACGCCGACGCAACAGTTGTTTAATTTTAACAATAACTGGTTGTTTACAAGCACATCCACAATAGCTTTATTTCATTTTTGGTATAATTAAAATTCTGTGACGGGACGTTTAGCCACCCATTCCTTAATTCCAGGAAGATTCAAAACAGTTTTCTGCATGGCCTTAAGGCCTGAGTAGTCCGCTATCAGATCCCTTTCGATCATAAAGTTTAAGTAATCCATAATGCCAACAAAGTGCAGATCGGCCCACGTTAGCTAGAAATAGTAAATGCTAAAGCGATACAAATTCGTACAAAAGTTAGTTACCTTTCCCGCCGCAAGGTGGCCCTTGTTCTTCTTAGTGAATGACTCCATGCGTTTCATATAGAACGGGAGAGTCTCCTCGAAAAGCTGCTTTCTACGTTCTTCTTTAACCGCCGCACCTGTTTCGTAGAACTACTCGGCAATTTCTAAAACGATTTTTGTACTGACAAAGCTTCAAACGACTAACGAAACTTACTTGCTTTCAAATCCATTACGGTATCAACCACCGCATCGATTTCCAAGTCCTCGATGTCGTTGGCCCCCGTCAGTTTTACCTGTTTCGCCAGGTAACGACAAATGGCGATACTTTGGTGTGCTTCGACGCCCTTAAATTCCAGCACCGGAACCTGACCGAACGGCATTGTCGGTTTAATTTGGGGCCAGTCATCCCTATCAAAGCGGAAATCTTCAAATTCGAGCTTTCCGTAGCTCATTAATAGGCGGATCGGTTCGGCCAAAGCTTTCACCGGGAAGTATGTCAGCTTGTATGCCGGTGCCATTGTGTAAGCGCTACTGCAATTCCAGTTTGAGCAACAAAACTATATTTCAGATAAGGAAATGACCTCTGTGCAGTTGACCCGACCTCTTTGCAATGATTACCAAAAGTTTTCTGAAAGGTTATCGTATGTTTGCGGTTGTTTAGCTAAAAAAAGCGATTGTTTTGCAAATTCTGTTAATATCCCAAAGTTTCGCAAGGATTAATTTATATAATCTCTATCCGATTACAACCTCATACTGGTGCATATTATGTACTCCGCTGGCTTTTCCGCCTCAAAGCAGAGGCGGCATGCGCCGCTCCGATATTCCATAAGCAGCTTGGAGGTCATGTAAGAACTGTGTAGCGGTTTATTTCCTCCTTTAAAGTATTATTCTTGTTTACGGTATATTTTGTTGAAAGATCCTAGTAACTATCTACGCAGTTTTAGCGCGCAGTGCGTTTCTTTCTGCCGAGGACTGTATTGGGTGACACTTCATTAACGAACAGTTGAGGCGTTAGTTGAGAACGCATGGAATTTTAATTGCCATCATCCATGTATTATTAACCTCTGGCAATTGGATTCATTAAATTGGGGATTCTGGAGTAGTTAGTGAACGGATTCGCCTAAAAACTCCAAAATGAAGGTTATAATTATGTTTTTCTTCTTTATCGTAAGTACGCCATTGGCATTTTCAGTAATTAAAGTGCACATTTTCTCGTGGTTTTGGCTGATATTTGTCATATTACAATTTCTATCGACGATGGTTGCATTCATCTATAATTAGACCTCTTACTTAAGAGGTTTATCAAAAACGAGTGGTTACTATTGATTTTCTTTTAGGGTTTTAATTATATTTGAGCGGTTTGGTCTGATTGCTTTTTTGTCCAACTTTTCTTTATCTACGGGTAAACGGAACTTTCCTGGGCTGGAAAGCCGAAAGGACGGAATTTGGGCAGGGATTTTTGACATTGTGTTGGTTGGGGTCCGGGCGCCAAAGTCTAGGTATTTCTTATGGGAATCGGCATTCTATAAAGCAACGTCATGTGAAAGTAAACAATAGACTGATTCTAAAATCTATTACAAGGAGAGATAGCTCGTGAGGGGGTTCCAATCTTGTATGACTATCTAATTGCAGACTCTATGTGGAAAGTATCGTTACAGTATCTCCTTATTATCCACCGGATAGTGTATCATTCATAGTAATTTGGCTTGTTGGAGATTACTCCTTTACGGCATGTAACCTGACACTTGCGAAGGACACTAATCTCCTAGCTTGCAAGGTAAATGAATCGTAACACTTTCGCGATAAAGTTCCGTCATCGATTTCGTCGACAAATTCAATCATTTGTTTCCATTTGTAGACGCGAGCCGTTCAGGAACGAATGAGATTGATATACGGAAAGAACGGGTAACAAATTGATGCAAATTAAGGCGGAATGAGAGGAGGCATTCTAAATTTCTCACTCGCTAAGGCCCTAAGCTCCTTAAAATCTGACTATGATACTCTAAATCGGGTAAAGTAGTTTGCTAACTTCGGAGGGAATTGGGAACAAAGCGATATTGAAACCCGCACGGCTTTACATAATGTCTTCCAATTTAAAACGGAGTGCGAATTTTTTTTTCCGGCACGTTTCGTGCGACGTTTAGTTGCGGATTTCTGGGGTACATTTTATGTTAGTAACGTGTCGCTTTCAGTACGTAGATTGTGGATGGGTTCCATCTACCGACTCGAAATTTATTACTTACAATGGAAGAATTGCCATCCTATTTATCAACTTCAAGGTGAAAACATAGCACCCCAAGCCAACTTTGGTGCATACAATTCTGAACAGATTCAAGTTACGCAAGAATAAGCAGACGATGCTATTCAATGCGACAACACAATAATTCAACTCGAAATTACATATTGGGTGGATGGTCTTAAGTGCGGTCCTGACTTTACCGTACGTTCAATGCTAAAGGTGCCTTAGAGTCGTGAAAGATGGTGGGATTGTCTAAGGTTCAAGAAAATTGCTGCCCGTAATCCTTATTTTTTATTTTTGGGAAAATTGAAGACTCAGAGAACCAAATAAATTTTGGGACCAGAAGACAGTAATTCGAAATTATAGGCGTTAACACTTTCCAAAGATTAGTCTCAAATTCTCTTGAATTTGCAAGAGGTTAAAGTAATAACGTCAAGGTTCTAACAACTTAAGGCTGAAATTCTGTTATAAGCTTCTGAGATCGCAAGCTCCTAAGGTTCCCGCATTCTAAGGTTTCAAAGATTCCACAGTATCAAGATACGTTACAACCTCAATGTTCAAGCTCTTGGTTTGGGTTATTTATGGCACCCGTTGCTCTCCCCTGTCGCACCCTCGCGGGGTTGTGCCAGTATGTAACCGCACCTCTTCCGTTCCGCGCGTGTCAGACCTATGTCAACTTCTCGCACCTTCGACATGTGGTTTCCGGGTTACAGTTTCTCGCGCAGTGCCCAGAGTTCCCGCACTTGAAACACTGGACGCTGCGGAATCGTCTCATTTTTGTTGTTGTCATATTTGACTTTAAAAGTTAGAAAAGGTTAACAACCCCATTTTTGCGGTATCACATTTTACTCCCAAGGTCATTTTATGCCAACAATCCCTTATTTCCCTTTCAATTTCTATGGATCAACGACCCCAATGTTTGGTGGTGTCTCTTGTGATTTTTAAGGTTAGCGGGGATCAACTACCCCTTTTTTATGATACCTTGTTTTATTCTCAAGGTTATCAAAGTTTAACGATACTTTTTTTAAGGTGTCATAGGTCAAGGACATCAAAAGTCACTGGGCCATTTGTTGTGGTGTCTGCTTCCAAAGCGATCCAAGGTCAATGACCTCTTTTTCTCTGTATTTATTTCTATTTACAAGGTCAACCAATGTCAGTACCGATTTTAATTTCTAAGGTCATCCAAACCTAATGGATTATGTGTACTAAATTTAATTTTCAAGGTCATCGGGTGCCCATAAGCCATTAACATTTGTTACGTGCCAATTTAATTTATTTCAAGGTCATCCAATGACGGTGACACTTTCCAGGTCTCGCAGGTATGGGGATCATCAAATTTCAACGACACTTTTTGCGGTGTCATGTCATCTTCAAGATCATGATAAACCAGTGCCAAAATGTCAACTCTGATTTTTAAGGTCATAGTTTTGGTTGAGCGCTTTTTCTTTGTCAGCTATATTCTTTGTCAATTTGTCATTCGTATACGTACTTTAAAATAAATTCAGAAAAATAGTCGCTCATGAGTTACGCTACCTCGAAGACTCTGACTCTTGAGACTCTTCAGACTCTTGAGACTCTTGAGACTCCCGAGACTCCCGAGACTCCCGAGGCTCCTGAGACTCCTGAGGCTCCTGAGACTCCTGAGACTCCTGAGACTCCTGAGACTCCTGAGACTCCTGAGGCTCCTGAGACTCCTGAGACTCCTGAGATTCCTGAGACTCCTGAGACTCCTGGAACTCCTTGGACTCTGGAGACTCTTGAGACTCTTGAGACTCTTGAGACTCTTGAGACTCTTGAGACTCTTGAGACCCTTGAGGCTCTTGAGACTCTTGAGACTCTTGAGACTCTTGAGACTCTTGAGACTCTTGAGACTCTTGAGACTCTTGAGACTCTTGAGACTCTTGAGACTCTTGAGACTCTTGAGACTCTTGAGACTCTCGAGACTCTCGAGACTCTCGAGACTCTCGAGACCCTCGAGACCCTCGAGACTCTTGAGACTCTTGAGACTCTTGAGACTCTTGAGACTCTTGAGACTCTTGACTCTCGAGACTCTCGAGACTCTCGAGACCCTTGAGACTCTTGAGACTCTTGAGACTCTTGAGACTCTTGAGACTCGAGACTCTTGAGACTCTTAAGACTCTTGAGACTCTTGAGAATCTTCGTACTCTTCGGACTCCGGACTCTTCCGACTCTTCGGACTTTTTGGACTCTTCAGACACTTTACACTCTTTGCAATGTCACATTTTACTCCCAAGGTCATTTTACGTCAACAATCTCTTATTTCCTTGTGTCTATGGGTCAACGATCCCAATGTTTTGTGATGTCATTTGTCAATTTTAATGTTATCGGAGATCAACTAGTTCTTTTTTATGATGTCTTGTTTTATTTTACATTTCACATTAGCCTTGACATTTGTAAACAACTTGATTTTGTAAAACATGAACAATAAATTTAAAAAAATAATTTCAAGGTTATCAAAGTTTAGTGAATTTTTTTTAGGTGTCATAGGTCAAGGACATCAGAGGACACTGATTCAATTGTTGTCGTGTCAAACTTTGCTTCCAAGGTGATCCAAGGTCAATAACCTCATTTTTCTCTGTATTTAATTCCTGTTCCAAGGTCAACCAATGTCAGTATCGATTTTAATTTCATCCAAAGCCAATGGATTATGTGTGCTGAATTTAATTTTCTAGGTCATCGGATGCCAATGGACCCATTTCTTACGTGTCAATTTTATTTTCTTCGTCAGCCAAGGTCAGTGACACTTTCCAAGTCTCGCAGGTATAGGGATCATCAAATGTCAACGAAAATTTTTGCGGTGTCATGTCATATTCAAGATCATTGGAAACCAGCGCCAACTTGTCAAATTTGATTCTTAAGGTCTTACACGGTGAATGACACTATTATTTGGGTGTCAAATTTCATACATGGTCAATTTGTTTTAGTTCAGACTCTTCAGACTCTTCAGACTCTTCAGACTCCTCAGACTCTTCAGACTCCTCAGACTCTTCAGACTCTTCAGACTCTTGAGAATCTTCAGACTCTTGAGAATCTTCAGACTATTGAGAATCTTCAGACTCTTCACTCTTCAGACTCTTCACGCTCTTCAGACTCTTAAGACCCTTGAGACTCTTCAGACTATTCAGACTCTTCAGACTCTTCAGACTCTTCACACTCTTCAAACTCTTAAGACCTTTCAGACTCTTCAGACTCTTCAGATTCTTCAGACTCTTCAGACTCCTCAGGCTCTTCAGACTCCTCAGGCTCTACAGACTGCTCTGACTCCTCAGACTCTTTAGACTCTTCAGACCCTTCAGACTCTTCACTCTTCCGAATCGTGTGACAAAATAAGTATAGCTTGTTTAAGGAGTAAACTGGTCTATACGGGATAAAATTGCGAGTAGGTACAACTTTGGTAAACAACTCACTCCAAGATGCTGTAGATCGTCGTAGATCCCCGTAAATATTATGAAGCTTAAAATTATAATTAAGTAAACGTAAATTAATTGAAATAATCCTAAAAGCCCGCGCATGAAATTTTTGATTTGCTAATGTAACGTAGGCCTGACATCGATATCAAATGGCTCAAATTTCTCCGATATTAAGTTTTGCAGTGTTTAAAGTAGATCGAACGCTGGAAGGTGGAATTTGGTAGGCTTTGAGGTAATAGACTGCTTTGGGGTTTAATTACATTCCCCCAACCACCACAGCCACCTTTCGCGAAACCGCCCCGTGCCGCTCTCTCTTCCTCTCTCTATTTTAGGCGCGCACTTCGTCATCCCCAAAATGATATTCAAAGGCCATGTTACTAAACATTAATTACTATTTATTTTGCGCTGATGAGATGTCTGAAAAGGGAACAAACCACGCGACACACGCGCGTGGCGCGTGTGGGAAAACTGAATTTTGAACAATTTGGTTAAAGTGTCGAAGTTGTTCTCTAATTGGCGGACTCGTGCACGGTTTCTAAATTACTTCGATATTTGTATATTACGCGAAGCACACTCATATATTCAAATAAAATTACAACTCGTGCCTCGGCTCTCGCCAATAATTAAAATTGAAACGCTGGCGGTATTTTCCTTTCTCCTCCAAACTGAACGGAAACGTTCGCTTTACAACGCATCGTAAACAGATAACTGTTTAGTTTATATCATTTGTCTGGCAAATAATTTTTTATTGCTAATAATAAACACGTAGGTACGAACGGTTTTACAGCCTCACATATTGGATGTAAACGCAGATGCGAGCGAGCATTTACGTCCGAAGGCGCTCCCGGTATAAAATGTATTATGACGGATAAGGAGCAACTTAATGTAATTTTTTTTATTAATATCTACTCAAATGTCTCTATGAGGCGGCGAGAAAGGGAAACGGCGTAAAAACGTAATAACCGTAATCACGTTACGTACCAGTAGGCCCTCGTAATCGTTACGTTTGAGTTAATGTCGTAAACGCACATGTTGGAAGTTAAAGGAAAGAGCAAATTTGGCCAAATTTGTTTTATTATACTTATATACCGTTTTTAGATGCTTTCGCCGTTGGTACTCATCTTCTGTGTGGCTTACAGTCCCTTACCCTTTGCCTGATTATCGTAATCTAACGTGCTCGTCGCTAGTCTGTGGTTCAATCACATAAAGAACATATCACGAATAACGGTTCCCAAAATATCCGAAGTAAACCTAATTCAGTTACACTTGCTACTGGGCTTGAAGTACTAAAATTTTGAATAAAATCTGAAATAAACTCGTTCTATTTAAGCTACTACTTCCTCTAAGAAATTTAACATCGTTATTATCTCGACGACACTCGAAATTCCTCTACACCGCCAGAACTAATAAAACATCTGCATCGCTTATCTCGCACGTGACATTGTTTGTCGAAAAACCAATTAATTTTAAAACTTTAAACTCACGTATTAATTTAGACAAAATGTTCACTTAGTTATTCCTTTTTTAATTTATCATACAAACTAAATACGACAAATAGAATTAAATAAATGAAACAATTACCGACTAAATTTACAAGAAGAATCTTTCATTAAAATGGCAATTGTGTGTCTATTAAAGAAAATTTCCCCAGATCATGACCATTCACGTTTCTTTTAAACTGCACCCGCCCACAGTCTGGGAGGTGTCATTTTGAAATCTTGGCTATTATATATTCGCAAAGCTGAAAATTGATCACTATCAATCTACATATGTATACAGAGTACACACGCATCATGATGTAATATTTTTGGTCTTTTTTACTGTTTGAGAGCGATCTAGGCGATGAACGACATATAAAAGACTAAAAATAAAGATTAGAATGTGCTTGCAAGTTTGAATTTAAGTATCATTACTACAGATAAGCAAGGACTATTTAACACACGCTATTCCACGTGGTTGCCTAATATTAGCGATACTGTTCCGAATAATTTCAATAATTGCACTGTTCGTCCAGGCCAAATGGACACACTCAACGACTGAAAGACGACCACGAGCGTAACATGTTTCAGTGACTCGGCTACGACGCAATTAGCGAACGTTGGAGATCGAATACTTCGATCCCTCATTATACAGAAATGTTTGTCTGATGTTATCTAAATGTTGATAAAGGATTGGATACCAGAAAGTAGCCTTTTCCCGCTTGGAATTCCGAGGGAGGTCGAAGATCTTGCAGGTTTTAGAAAAGGACAGATGTAAGATTGTAGTCGCAGCAAATTGCAAAGTGGCTGTGAGGTACTTAAAATGGAAGATTGACATGTCTCACTATATTTTCATTAAAAAACCAGTTGCGAGTTATTTTCTTGATTCTACTCCTATGCCTCCAAAGATGACCAAGATCATCTAGAACCTTTTAGAACTTTGAATTGATACTTCCAGTTCCAGTCAGTATCCAAGAGTTTTTCGAGATCCCTCAAGGATAACCACGGGTTTTCTAGGAGCCCGTGATATTCACTCTTGCATTTGACACAAAGGTTGTAAGGGCGTTTCAGAAATTATCAAAAGCTTCTAGAACCCTAAAGTGTTTTTATTTATTTATTTTATGTTTTTATTTATTTATTATCCCTCTCTTGTTTTCAGGGTTCCCAAAATCGTTGCAGAACCTCTAAAGATTGAGCCATTAAATGCATCTATATTAATGCCGGCCCGTGTGGCGCAGTTCAGTTAAAGCTAGACTGTGGTGCGCTAAGAGTCCCTGGTTCGAATCCGGGTTGGGGCATGCATATTTGTAAATGTATAGTAGGTTGGGTTGGTAGAGCAATCTTGGCTGAAACCCCGCACACTCAAAAATAAAATAAAATAAAATAAAATAAAATAAAAAAATAAAAAAAAAAAATAAAAAAATAAAAAATTAAAATAAAATAAAATAAAATAAAATAAAATAAAATAAAATAAAATAAAATAAAATAAAATAAAATAAAATAAAATAAAAGTAAATAAAATAAAATTTGCGGTGGCTAGCACACATAGTACCCACACACCTGCGAATGCGCGATTTTTCCCGTTTATGTCCGAGAATATGTGTCCCAAATTTGGTTCCAATCGGTTTAGCCGGTTAGCCTGAAATGAGAGTACACACGGACCGACAGACCGACATCATCGAAATTTTGTTTGATTTTGGTGCTTCAAAACGTGTATTCCCGTCACAAAAGTGGAGAGGGGGGGGAGGTCATCTTTTAACCCAATGCCATATACCTCCCATACTAACGTGCGGGTGGTAAAAAGGTAATCGGATATTCATATACTGGGGGCTACGGTATTCCATACCTCCAGACCCCCCGGTAATACGTTCCTGCACAGAATAAAGGCAGCGCGGGGTCCGGGGAATATGGAATGCCCCCCAGGAAACCAAAATTGATTGACCTTCTTCCCTGAAGTTATCGCTCATGAAATGACCAGTAAAAGTAGCACACGACAACTCTTTCCCCATTGCACCTGCCGCTCGCACAATAGTCTTAGAAAAAAGGTAATAGGGCACATACTCTAACCTTAAATTAATAATCGCAAACAAGAGTTTCCAAGAGTTGCAAAGGATCTCTAATAGTGTTTTTGGCTTTTAAGAAAATCTAATCTGTCTTAGAAGAAGAGCCTTTAAAACCTTCAATCGAGTTAAGAACCTTGAAAGCCTTAAAAAACTTTCAAAAATCTGCAAGCATTAAACACTTTGTCTTCAAAAACCTTCGGGAGTGTGTAAATTTTTTTCAAAACCTATAAGATACTTCCCGAGCTTTTTCAACGAGAGCTACCCCTAAGGTTGTCAAATTCGAGAAGCTTTTAGATTCCTTTCTTTAAGAGCTGAGCCTTTAACAGCATTTGTAAGGCTAGGAAGCTTTTCTGAGTATTCAAGTTAAGCAACCATGAGTTATCGGCTTTGTAGCTCAGGGATAAAGCGTTGGGCTACAAAACCGGAGGTCGGGTGTTCAAACCTGAGACCTTAAGACCTTCTAAATAAATAAATAAATAAATAAATAAATAAATAAATAAATAAATAAATAAATAAATAAATAAATAAATAAATAAATAAATAAATAAACAAATAAATAAATAAATAAATGAATAAATAAATAAATAAATAAATGAACTCAAAGAGCCTTTAATGGGTGCAGACACTTTTACTCCGCAAAAAGGATCTTTAAGGAGCCCTATAAACCTTAAATGTCGCCAGGAGTCTATAGGAGCAATTTAATGGAATATTAAGAGTCTTTTAGAACCTCCACGAATCCCCAAATGATTCTCTAAGAAACAATAAGAGCCTTCTATGCATTTTCAGTCGTGCAATTAGTTTTTCAAAACTCGTGGTTGATCCATACTCTAATTGGGGTAATGAACCATACAGGAAATAAACAACTCAATTCCTCAAAACCTTCCCCGTGGATATTTAATATTTAGTAATTATAATAATAATAATAATTAAACAAATTAAATAAATAAATAAATTTGAAAAAAATAAATAAATAAATAAATATCCATGGGGAAGGTTTTGAGGAATTGAGTTATTTATGTCCAGTACAATTAGTTTTTGTAGTTTTCTAAAAAAAACACTTCAAATCATTTAAACCTTCAAAATCGTAAGATCGCGTTTTATATGATTTAAGAGTATTTAAGGTCCCTTAAACGAATTTCAGATTCCGTAATTCCGATCTACAACAAATTCCAAAAGTCGATTAGTGGGTTTGGGAGCCTCTATTGGCTTTTGAATGTCTTTAAAAACCCTTAGTACAACGTATGCGTGTTAGACGTGCATTTTAAGAGCTTTTGAAAGCTTTGAAAAGCACTTATTGGGTTTTAGGGGTATAGAATGGCGCAAACGGTTTGCAGGAGCTTTCAAGTCCCCATGATTTCTTCTCCTCTCTCTTAGAGTGGAGACTTTACGGGCTTTTGTAAAATTTGGGACCTATCAAGGGTGTTGGAGGGCCATTAAGCATCTTTAGAAGCTTTCAAACACATTTAGGAGCCTATGGGTCGATATCCCTTACCCCTTGAAGCCCCTAAAACTCTTCAAAGGCCTCCAGGAATTTTTGTAAGGTTTACGATCCTCTAAAACCGTTTATCGTTTTGTTCTAAGAGACCCCCAGAGACTTTCTAAAAGCTTGTCATTTTGTGGACCCTTTGGATAAACTTGTATTGTTGTACCAAAGCCTTTGAATGTCACTAACAAGCCGTGTGTGACTTTTAAAGGCCAACTAAGACATTTGAATACCTATAAAGGTCTGTAATGCTCTGTATAAGAATCGAAAATGGTTGTCAAAGGTTTACGATTCTCTCCTCTGTCTAAGAGCAGAACGTTGAGCAGACTTTACGAGTTTTTAACCGTCGATTCTATGTCCAGAATGCTATTTCCAATTTTAGAAATGAGGCTATGAAGGACGCTCTCCGTAAAGCCTCCCTTTTGGTATACTTGTTGGTTGGTGTGGAGGTTTTTTTTTCTTAAGGAACTCTTCCATTTATGTACTGCCCTGTCTCCATCATTTTAAGGATGAAGGAGGATAGGCTGATAGGTCGGTAGCTCTTGGGTTGATTCCTGGCTTTCTTACCTGCCTTAGGAATGAAAACCACCCCTACTCCCCTCCAGTCCTTGGCGATATAGCTTAGAAGGCAGTTCTCCCTAAAACGTTCCACTAGAATGGACATTAATGTCTCAGTCACTTTTATAAGTAGAATTCCATTTTCGCCGGCCATCTTGTGGCAGCCTATCGCCTAACAGGCGCTGCTTGGTGTGGATATACGACCACTGAGACTATAATCAAATTTGTTGGCAGGCCGGGGAGGTCTTCAGATGTCCTCCCTCTGCTCGACGGAACCGGGAAGCGAGTTCGCATCAAGAGCTGCAAGGTATTTCTGGCCTACTAGAAAAGAGGAGGTAAAGGTAATGTCCAGGACTTCTATCCTGTTCCTGGTTCCTCTGACAATGGAAAATCTAAAAGGTACTCACCTCTACGGTTGGTGTCCCTACTGTCCCATTCCGAGCCCGAATCTCTTCGTCGGAGCGCGCTATTCAAAAACTTCGGTTTTTCTCCTCTCACCTCCCTCGGGGGTGACCCTCGTTTCGTAGATCTCATCGAGATCTACAAACGCGCAATTTGACGTTTTGCTCTCTCTAACGGTTTGGCCGGTAGAAGTCCTCATATTTGGAAAATGCGAAAAACCCCCTTTTCGAGAGTGGCGCCCCAAGTCGCGCAGTTTCCAAATTCGAATTAACTCCAGAATCCTATCGCCGCACGAACACGCTCCTCCACGTCTCCCGCGATCTCCCGAGAACCGCAAGAGGAAATCAGGTAACGTTTTCGAGTTACGAATTTTTTTTGATTTTTTCGTTTCTTGTGGCAGCTACCCCGACGCATGCCGTAGGAATTTTCTTAACTTTACCAGAAGTTGCGCTAATTATAGGAACCCCCCGAGCCGGAACGGCGACTTCCTAACTCGACCCGTATGGAAGAGGCGAATTTTCAAACGCGCCCGCGCACCTCGACGACGATGCTCCCCAGCCGCCCAGCGAAATTTCCCAGGTGCCAAATTCTCAGAATCGATACAAAATCGTCTCAAAAACGTCTCATAAAAATTTCGTCCAAATGACCGTACGAATTAAAAAATTAAAAATGAAAATTGAGTTAACGGTTGACTATACTATGTTGGTGCCAAATCCTATCAGAAGACACAGTCCCTTTCCCTTGTACTTGTAGTATTTGCTCAGCCTCCGTACTTCCGGTGGCGGAAGCGCTGCTGTCTCGTTCTCTCCCACGGAAAGTTTGCCGGCCACACTATTTTGGCCACAGCCACCATCAATTTTTGATTTACCAAACCGCTCCCTAGACCGCTCCCATTCGTAAATCAGAGTCTCTGCAGAATTAGGATAACCCTTGATAGGAGAGTTACCTATCCATGCTTCCTCTAAAAGGGCCACGTCTAGATTTTCTTCGTTTGACCTTGTGCACAGTCCGCTGGTGGCCGATTTCGCCCTGTGTAGGTTTACCTGTATCAATCTCATATCGGCCATTATGCGATATGGGGCTATCTTCTGTTTCTCTTGCGTCCACCGTAACGTAAATGAGGAGAGACGCCTCTTTCCTAACTCTGCCGGTGTCTTTGACCTTAACGAAAACCTTTGCCTTGACTTTGGTTGAGCGACGATCAAGGCTTGCTCGTTTGGTTGGGGCCATTGACCTTTCCTCGACGTTGAGTAACCATTTTAAAATGTGGTCGGTTGACTCTTCCGCCTCTCTCGGAAAGTGAGCCATGAACACGTTAGGCTTTGGAAGATCCTTTTCCTCCCGAAGCTCGTGTTGAGCTCCCTTCCACGGTGGGCTTTAATTGCGTACCCTCCGCAACTTTGATTAATTCACTTGTTTCTCCTAAGCCTGCTGAGGATTTTTTACCCGATGCTTCGCAGTCATCAAGTACCTAGTCTTCCTTCAGAGGGAGGGATCTTGGGTCCTCCAAGTGTCAGTTGGGAATAGGTACCTACAATAGGTCCCACGAGTGTTGGGGTTTTAAACGTTCATTGACAGCTTGCTTTTACCTCCAGAAGGCTAATTGAAACTGGAGGGTGCTCTGTACCCAGAATTCGCTGACAAGCGATCAAGCTCTCCCTTGTCTATGCAATCCTCGGCGCCAGCTGTTCCACCTTGACATGGATTTGATTCGCCTTACTGTCATTCGCCAATCTCCAGAGTTCCAAGATTAAAAAGGTCTTCCGTCAACTGCAAAGCAAAGCCTTCAAAAGTCCAAAGTTCCTAAAGATCTTCAAAAGTAATGTGTACTAGAGAAAACCGATTTTCAATGTTAGGGGTTCCACAATTTTAGAATTTGGAAATTTCGGAATTAAAGGTTTCCAAGCATTTCAATGGTTCCCGAGATGTGCAAAGACCATCAAAGAACTCCAGAGTTTTCCAATGGTTTCTAGAAAACTCAAACTTCTGAGACTACAAAATTCACTAAAAAAAAAGTTTGAGCTTAGGAATTCAGTTCAGAAATCAGAGATAACGTAGTCCTAGAGCCCAATTTAGGAGGAGTTAGCGTTTAAATTTGTTGACTATTCCTAATTAATTTTAAACATTCAGAATTTTAAGAGTCTAAAAAGGGTCAAAAATTCAACACTCGAAAATTAAAATTTGACACCCCAAATCTGAATTTCCAAATGCAACATCCAAAAGCTAATTTCCACAATTCAAGGTTAAAGATGCAAAGCTCAAAACTCAAGAATCAACGAATTCCAGGGTTTGGGAAGCTCAAATATCCAGAAATTTAAAAAAAATGAAATAGTTTAAAATTTATTTTTGAAACTATACACATTTAAACCGGGATGCGAAGATTCAAAAAGTGAGAAAATAAAAAGCCCAGTAGTAAAAAACGTAAACTATTCTTGAATTTGGAAATTTAGAGGGATCCAACCCCAGAATAGTCTGTGTCAAAAGGGACCAATCATTTCTGGTCTATATCCAATAGCTTTTATTCTGTGGCAATCTTCTCTGCATACCTAAACATAAGCATACAATAAAATTATGGCGAAAGGAATGTACCTACCTATGTTAGTGAAGCTCTCTGGTAGCTTTCGAAAATGATTAAAACTGTGACGCCCAAACCGCTTGGTGCTAATTTTGTTCCTTGACCTAGTCAGCTGAGTGAGTACTGACCTTTGGGTGTACAGAGTCCGCCTTTTGAACACCAAAATAAACGCCTGGATCCCGACTCTTAGTAGATGGCTAACCGACAACTCACCCGTGTGGTATTCACCTAAAATTTCACCCGTACACCCAAAGCTCTTTGGCAGTACTGTACCTTTGTGTTTCTCCAAGGTGCGAAGAGCGCATACCGAGTAGGCGTACGCGACCTTCCTCGCGAGATCGCCCACCAAAGCGTAATCGACGATTATGTTTTTTAAAGCCATCACGCCGACGTCGAATTTGAAAGCAATGTAGACCATTGCCTCAAAGAAGTTCTCCAAAACTGTACCCTCCGAGTTGAAGATCGTGTTCAGCTCAATCTTTTTGAAGAAGAAGTTGTTCAGTTTGTACCTCATGGGGCGACTCAGAAATCTGAAAACGCGCTGATTAAGCGAGCCGTTGTGAAGGGAGCTTACTCGCGTATGGATCTGGATCGATCCTTGTGATAAATGGCCTGACCGATGTTCCACAGTCTAAACCGGTGACGAATTTCGGCCCGTTTGTCCCAACTGTACAAAGTTTTCACCTCCCCCGTTTCCAAGGAGATGGTTTGTCCGTAATAGTGAAGGAGCTGGCTCTCGAATCCGGCGATATTGCTCTGAGTCTTCCGCTCGTTGATCTCGTGTAACGCTCGCATGGTGGCAAGAAACTTTGATACGTCGTCCTCGCTCGTTGAGCAAAAGAGGTAGTCGTCAACCGTTCTGTGGAGGAAATTGGTCGGCTTGTACAGATCGGCTAGGTGAGTCGAGTCCAGGTAACTCCTACAATAATAGTAAAGTCGAGGTCGCCATTGTCAATCCACCTACATGTATAGTTGGCACAGAGCGCTAGAAAAGCGGTCACCCTGGCACAAACCGCGGTTCCACCTCCACGTCTTCGGCTTACCTAGAGATTTTGAAACGTGTTGGAAATTCAGAATATTGCGAATGTGTGGGTAGCCTTTGGGAATATGGGAAATAACAGGATCAGTCAAGTTTTGGAAATACCGAATGGATTGGAAATATTAAGTGACTTCGGTTCACTCGGCACTGGTTTAAAATTGTCACTTTTCCATGCCTTCGACTCGTTCGGCAGGAAAATAGGCCTGTTATTAAATTTCAATGGTAAAGTGCGCCTTCTCTAGAAGTAGCCGGACAAGGCTTTTAAGACATTCAGAGCATTAAATCGTTTTGCAAAGTATTTGAAGGCCTTTGAAAGCATTAGACGATTTCATGCAAATGTTTCTCATAGGTCGATTCCTTTGGGAAAATTAAAATTACTTCAAACAAACTTAATATGCAAAGTCCTAAAATAAGCAAATCCAGTTTCAATTTAAAAGTAATACGTAAGAGCAGGTTTAAGCACAGAAATAGAATGCGAATATTCCACTGTGTCGATGTTAATTTTGCCCAATTTACTAACTAGGTTTTGTTGTCCGCAAATGCATCAATTGTCTATAAATTTTATGCCATACGACGTTATATGCAACATTTTATTTATCACACAAGGTGTTGACCAATGACGTCACTCAACTTTGAGAAACTTGCTTTTAACCAGTGGTTGTTGTTAGAGATCCGAAAAACGTTTATTTTTTTAATCACGTTTTTTAATTCAAAAGCGAATCTCCGACTCGAAAATGTTCCTTCGCGCGAATTTTATCACTTAATTGTTTCTCAACGACGTACTCAAATTTTAGGAAGTCTCTTTCTACTCGAAGGCATTTTCCGTGAAATAAGCCAACAATAACAAAATAATGTAGCGTGCCCCAATTGGTACTGACTCGCACTCGTAACTTCTGTAAGAATTTAATGTCGCGTACCTAACACAGTACGTGATCGCTCGCGAAAACCAGCTTAGAATGCTCTCTCAGATTTATTCTACTATTTCATTTTTGCCCAAGAAAAAAACCGAAATGGGAGTTTTTCCTGTATGCAATGGCCTCGACTAACGTACATTTTTAAAAGGCTCGGCTAAAACAGAACGGAGCGGAACATTTTGGTCACAAGAGCTCACTTTCCCCAACACGTTTATTGTTATCGCCAGACATACATTGGTTTACGTTCACTATGAAGCGGTATATGTGTAGATTTCCCTATGCTGAACAAAATATAAATTCAAGACCAAATTTATGAAATGACACAAGCGGCCATCTGTTACACAGGACGCATCAAAATCTTCCCTTTCAGGTTTGTATCAGGAGAATATAATGTGCGAAGAGGTATTACAGCACCTAATACCTAGGGTAATCGTCTGAAATAACCTGAAAACTTCTACTGGTTGCGAGGAGGGTAGATCAAATGAAAAGATACCCTTCTCCCATAAAAGGAATGTTGAACCCTTACTTTTAGTTGTAACCAGGAGTAGGTATATAATGGGCAGGGATGTAACCCTGATCCCAATTCTTATAGTATACGTCAGAAAAACTCTGCAACCTGCTTACTAATTTAAGTAACAAGCGGGAAAATATTGAAAACCTGTTTCGTCTGCCAGGGGAACATAGGCAAGAAACGGGTTATTAATTTGTATCTGGAGAATAAATGTGCGAGGATGGATGTCTGCTGCTAATACTTAGGGTAACTATCAGGTTGGGTCAGGATAACATAATGTCTCCCTATCCCTGCTCCTAATACTTATGGTAGTGTCAGAAAGATTCTGACACCTTTCTCTTGCTATCAGGTTTGCATGATAAATGAAGAGGTCACTTTCGAACGATAACGCGCGAAGACTTATTTCCGGTGCAACTACTTAAAGTAAGAGGCTGGACAATTTTTGATACTTCCCTGGATGCTACGAGAACATAGGCAACTTGTTTTACAAAGAAGTAGGAGTAAACTGTCAGTTTGTATCAGGAGAACATAATCTCGGGGTAGCTATGGTATAACTGTAAAAACAATTTTGCATATTTTCTATGGCCAGACAACACCTTACTTTGTTATGTGGTTTTGATTTCAATCAAGAGAACATAATGCGAGAGGAGCTATCCATGTTCCCAATACTTATAGTATCTATCAGGAAGATTCTGGCACCCTTCTTTTGCTATCAGGTGTGATAATGATTGGTGACTTTCTAACATCAGGAGCGATTTATATCTAATTTTCAGTTTCGCTTTATAGTTTGTGTGAGGAGAATATAATGCGCGAGGGTGTCTTTGCGAACTTAATACAGTATCCCACACGATTTTTTTGAGAATTTCTGGATATCAGAGACTTGTTTGCTTCTAATACGTAATAGACAAATTTTTGGCTAATAATGTACTACAGAGGAAGGTATTTTTGCTCTTAAAATCTGCCAGACATACTAAAAACTTCATCCGGCTACCAGGAACACATAATAAGTTGTGCTTTCTTTATTACGTCAGGAAAGTTTTCTCTGTCAAGTTTGTATTAATAGAACACAGTGTATGTAGGAAGGGGGGGGGGGGGGGGGGGTAAAGGTGATACTCAAAGATCCGTTAGGTAGTTCATCCCTAAGCATTTCCCACTCGGTCGCACCTCACCCCTCAATGAGAGATCTTGGAAGCTAAGTCAAGTTATCTATCAAAGGTTGATCACCACTGACCTGCTCCTAACAGATATGCCAAGACGAAGCTTAACGGCCGATCGCCTCCTGAGCAATCGTGACCAGACTAAATTCTGATTCCGTCAAATTTATTTTGCTCCTCCTCCTGACGAGGACTTTCGGAACTAAATAGTAATCTCAAAAGTTAAATATGTGGCGGTCTTCGAAATTAAGCCAGTGTAAAACTCAAAATTTGCTCACCGTTCAAAGTGCAATGTTCGATCGCCGTTCAAAGTCCAAAGGTTGGTCGCCGTTCAAAGTTTGCGCTAGGCATTTACTAGATAGCATTCTGGAAACGTTCAGGAAACTTGGGAAATATTTGGTACTCAACTGGTTTCAATAAATTTAGGAAATTTTTGGAATACCCAAATGTTGAAATGGAGATATCACCACTTACCATCTTTATCCTTGCCACAAATAACATATTGATTCTTGATATGATTGGTCAGATACGTACGAACATTACTCGAAATCTGCCCGCGCTCGTACAACCTCTCCAAGATGTAGCACATAAAATCTAGGATACACGCTCAGAGTAACCACAAAAAGAAACGAATTACCTATATTAATATTCCCAAACGCATCCTGAATGTCAATTTTGATCCCGTACACTTTTCCACCTCCCACTCGGTCCAGGTAATCCTTCCAGCAGCGAAACAGGTCCGTGGTTTTCGTTGCGGATAACTTTCGCGCGGCGTGACGTATGTCCCTCCCAATTTCGCGGGTAAACAGCTTCTCTTTGCGTCTCCTTGCCTTTCTACGGGTTAAAAGTGAGCACTTACGCGTAGATAACACGAAGCATACGTTTGAGGGGTTAGCCTAACTATCAGCCTAAACCGTTCCGGATCAAAGTATCCACTCTTTGGCTTTATTTGTAGCGCGCCCAATGGTCTTGAGGGGGAGTTAGAAGGGAGGAGGTGGCCTTTCTTCAATAGCAAGTTGATCACCTTTTGTCGGTAGGATGACCAAAGGGTTTTGGGCACCAATTCCAGTTCGTACTTGTCTCCCTTCTTCACAACGGTATACGCCTGGAGAATTAGGGGTTTTACGATTTTTTCGAGCAACCTCACTTGCCCCTAAAACGAGACTTAACTCAAGAGGTAAAGCTTGAACTTTTTTACCTGGCACAGGTATCGCCGACAGATCTTCGCGGGAGTGGTACGCACCAGGTCGCTGAGCCAGGGAACCGTGTTCAAGTTGTAGCCAATGACGAGCTGCCTAACGTAGATGCACTCAAATTCAGATTGCGTTAAAATTAGTTTAACAACATCGTAGAACAATTTGCGATGACGTCGGTTGCCAAAGTAGGCCGTGGGTATCACCTCGTCAAGTGTTTTGAGGAAATTGCGCGGCTTTCGGTTTTTCCTCAGGAACCTTTTGGCTCTCTCGGAAATTTCGGTCAAAATTTCGCGATATTTCTGAAACTGAAACTGATAGTATAATAAAGGGCTTAAAACTCGAGGTAGTACTTACGTGCTTGTGTGAGAAGCGTACGTTTTTTGTGGACAGCAAACGTTTTGAGGCTGACAGAGACAGTTGATAGTACGGAGACTGTTTTGACTGAAATAAACGATTCGCTGAATTATTCTCCGATTTAGAATTACATACTTGAACGTACATTTAATTATGTACAATTAATTATGAATGAAATTTGTCCTTAAATAGATTGATTTTAAAACACACCAGCCCTGAAGTCAGTTTTCACTTCGACGTAAACACGATTCAATTTGCTTATACAGCAAACAAAAAAATTCTGGACCATTCTCGAATACACATGTCATATTTCCCAAAAAGAGTTCGTCACATCCAAATTCATTCCTTATCGCCGGTAACTAATCGTATATCGAGTTGGTGGCGACCTGATGGCGCCCCGATGTCGCCCTGAAAATATTCGCTACAATACTATTCAGGCAGATCACATGCAATAGATGCACGTGAGATTCCATATGATCTAGTTGGTAATAGAATCTGAATTATTAGATGATTAATTAACATGGATCGGGTGATTTCACACAATTCAGATCATTCCATTCATGATTCATATTCAAAAAAATGATGATAAATTCGATTCAAACGATTCCAGTGATTTTGATGGTTCAGGTGGTTCGCAGGATCCAAAAGGCTCAGATCCACATCTTCAATTGTGAAACAGAGTATTCAAATGGTCCATGCCGGAGATCGATTAAGATCATTCATGTGATACAGGTGCTCCCAGTAGTTCAAATGTATATCCGAATTTGAGTTTTAATCCGAATCTGGGTTTGGTAGCGAATATGGGATTGAATTATCTGATTTTAACCTTGAGGCTGGCCTGATATCCATACTGTATCTGTGAGTAGGCCATGGCCCAGTCTGCCTATAAATCTGTGGCGTACCTTCTGAATCTGAATCCCAGCTAGAAACTAAACCTGTTTAATACTGCGCCTAACTTTTGGTGCTGAGAGTTGCCTAGGAGTGAATCCAAAATTTCAAAACTCGCCCAGATCTAGACTTTCATTTGGATCTGGACAAGACTAGATACTGGGTTTGAATCTTAATCTGCATATTTTTTTTAATCTGGTTCTTAAATTGGGTCTGTATTTCAATTTGAAATTGTAACCAATCGAAATGCGAATCTTACGTCTGGATCTGACTACAACCGTTCGATCCGATGTTAATCCCGATTTAAATCTTGATTTTCCACCTGAATTAGGATCTGGATTTGAGTTTGTACCTACCTAGGATGCCTTGCCTTACACTAAGAATCTGGGTTTACGTCAAGTCTGTGGTTTGAAATTCAAGCCCTAATTGAGGTTCAGTCCAGATCTTCGGATTTTTCGGATTCTTCTGATTCTTCGGATTCTGCGGATTTTCGGGATTCTTCGGATTCTCCAGATTCCTCAGATTCTTCTTTTCTTCAGACTCCTAAGACCCTCCAGGCCATTCAGATCATTCAGATTCCTCATATTCCTTGGATCCCTCCGATTCCTCTGATTCCTCCGATTCCCGTGATTCTTCAGGTTCCACTGATTCCTTCAGAGTCCATCAGATTCCTCAGATTCCTCAAATCCCTCAGATTCCTCAGTTTCCTCAGATTCCTTCATATTCCTTCAGATTCCTTCATATTCATTCATATTCATTCCTTCATATTCCTTCGTATTCCTTCATACTCCTTCATATTCGTTCAAATTCGTTCAGATTCGTTTAGATTCCTTCGGATTCCTTCGGATTACTTCAGATTTCTTCGGATTCCTTCAGATTTCTACACATTTTTCAGATTCCTTAAAATTTCTCCAGACTTCATCAGATTCCTTCAGGTAGATTCAGGTTCGTACAGCCTCCTTCAGGTTCCTTAAAATTCATTCACATTCCTCACATTAATTCACGTTCCCTCACATCCTTCAGATTGTATACTCATCAGATTTTTCGGATTTTTCGAATTCTTGTGATTCTTCGGATTCTACAGATCCTCCAGATTCTCCAGCTGCTCCAGATGCTCCAGATTCTCCAAATTCTCCAGATTCTTCATTTCTTCAGACTCCTAAGACCCTTCAGGTCATTCAGATCATTCAGATTCCTCAAATTCCTTAGATCCCACAGATTCCTCAGGTTCCTCAGATTCCTCTGATCCCTCAGATTCCGCGAATTCCTCGGATTCCTCAAATTCCTCAGATTCCTCAGGTTCCTCAGATTCCGGAGATTCCGTAGATTCCTCCGATTCCTCAGGTGCCTCAGATTCCTCGGATTCCTCAGATTTGTTTGACAAAATCAAGCGATAAATCTGAACTCATGTCCAAATGACAAATACCACGCAAAAGCGATCGATTAAATTTAATAATCCTTGACATCCAATCAATACTGTCATTCACTTCAATTAACACACAAGAACACATACGCCAAACCGATGGTGCTTCGATCAAAATTAAGGCGCGTATTTGAATAACTGAACACCTGCGTTATACGCACACTTGCTTATATACACTAATTAGCTTTATATAGAGATAACGAACTCTTATCGCACTGACCGGAGATAAGCTTTTACAATACCAACACGCAATTATTGCAAATGATTAAACTTAATCTTTTGGCACGTAGTTTAAATTTACAATAACAAATAAAAATAAACAAAGCGATTATTTAAACAAGAACAACACGAAAAACAGTAATAGTCCTGAAATTAACTTGGCAAAAGAGGGGAATTATAGAGGTGACAGAGAGGAAAGAAGAAACGGCAAGATATAGAAGAAGAAGATGAAGTAACAAAGAAAAAGGACTAGAGAGAACAGAGATTAAGAGAACTGTAGAGGAAAAAGTTGGAGTTGGAGGGAATAATTAACAGTAAAAGAGGATGGGGTGGGGGGTAAGAAAAGAGATAGAAATGGAATAAAAGTGGAGATGATTAACATGAAGATCATGTTTTGGAATGTGGTGGGGATAGCAATTAAAAACGTACAATTCTGGGACTTGGTAAAAGATTATGATCTTGTGGAGATGGTGGAAGAAGATAGAAGAAAAGAACTGAGGGAAAATAAAGAAAAGAACTGAGGGAAAATAAAGAAAAGAATATCGACGAACCATTCCAAGAAGATGGATTTTATAAAGGGAAGCACAAAAGACGGCGTATTAATAGGGGTAAAAAATCGATAAAAGAATGAGGAGAGGAAGTGAAAAAGAATGAAGGCATACGGGAAAGACAAGTGAAAGAGGAGGGGAAAAGAATTAGAGTGATAATTACATAAAACAGAGAAGAAATGAAAGAGTTAAAAAATGAAATAGAAAATATGGTAGATGAAAGGGTGAAGGGGCTAATATTAGGGGGAGATTAAAACAGAAAAGTGAATATAGGAAAATAAAAGGTAGAGATGAGAAGAGCAGCACAAGATCGAAAGCCAAGAGATAAAGAATGCAACAAGGAGGGATTAACAGAAAAGGGATGAAGAATATTAAACGGAAATATGAAGGAAGATAGGGACCGCAAATACGCATACCTACATGTGGGAAAAAGAGAGGTGGGTAATTTATTACATACGAGCACACGAAAAAATACTGGAAGAAACAAAAGAATTTAAGGGACAGTGACAGCTACTGGAACTGATCCTAAAAGGGAAGATACACAGATCAACAAATGCAAAGATACAAAGACAAAAAGAGATAAGTACAGATAAGGGCAAATCGCACAGTGCAGACAAATAAAAAGCAACTAAGGGAACAAAAAGAAGAATAGAATACAGTTCAGAAAGGGAAGTGGAAAGATATGAAGGAGAGTATTAAAAGGCAATAATATGAAACGGAAAAGAGAGATAACAGATAGGAATGATGGTACAGAGAGTGTGCCGAAGTAAGACCCAGATACACAACAGTGATAGAAAAAGGATGGAAAGAAGAGATAGGAGGAAGAATGAAGATAATTATAATGACGAAGAAATTAGGGACATAAAAACAGGGAGGGTGATAACCAGAGAAAAAGGGAGAAACATACTAAGTGGAGGAGAAATACAAGGAGGAGACAGGAAACGGCCCTTATCAAGGTAGTATAAGGAACGGAGAAAGAAGTTATGATACGGAAAGATGGAAGGGGGAAGGAGTTCTGAACAATAAAAGGACTGAAACAGGAATGTACACTTAGCTTTATTTAACATTTACTTAAGTGATATGGAGAAAATATCCAGACGGGGTCAAGATAGAGGAATCGCGGTTGGATGACGTCGGGACACAGGGAGGAGAGGATTGTTTCTTTTTATTTATTGCTAGCGATGGATTTTAGCAATATTAAATTTGTACTTTGCAAAGCAAATATGTAGGTACTCTATCCCGCACCAGATCAGGTTACCGTTAACGAAACAGACGACATTCAAGGAATTTTGCACTGCATACACAAGCAACATTTAATAATGTTAAGGACTCACCTTTTTCTGCATGGTTTACGTTCTGAAGGGAAGATCAACTAAACCAAACGCGTTCTACGCTAACTCTAGGTAGGTACCTCCATCAAGTTGTAAGACGACTATCCTGCAACCCTAGCATAATTCACAATGAGCGTCATTCATTCGTTTAGGCTGAAAAAGGAGATTAGTCGTATTGTATGTACAAAGACGAGAACAAGGCGCCAACTGAGTCTAAGGGTCCGACTACACCGCACCTGCCGCGGTCGGTCAACTAAGGAAACCGTTCGTATTGTATAGTGATATAGTCAGAACGTGAAATGGGCAGGTATTGAATTTTAAGATTAAGATAAAATTATGAGAGGGGCGCCTTTTACACTTTCTTTCTTTAAAGATAATGTACGATTGATTAAAGAATACCCACCCGTAAAATTAATTATTAAATTGATTTAATTACGTAATTAATTACTAATGTTCACTGAATCTAACACTATTAACGAGAAACTAAATTAAAATGGTTTAAATAGATTAATTTGTAACACTAATTATTGTTGTCGAAAGGTCTAGAAAACATGATTTTTCACAGAAATAAAGAGTCATATCCGCTCTCATTTCTGGTCGCCGGTGACTAATCCTTTATCGACTTGATAGCGCCTTCATGTCGCTCTAGAAAATTCGCTAAAATACCTTCAGAAACTAGTAGAACTGCAGAGACCACAGTAAAATTAATATCAGAAACAACATGCACTGCGAGAACTACAGCAATCACAAAAACGAAAGCAATAATCACACCGCACAGAAACCAATTCATTAGTGTTAAAAAATTCTTCCAAACAAATATTGTTCGTGGTGTAATGTAAACTAATTGTTTTGACGATTGTACGCCGAGGTGAGTCACTTTAGGCAGTTTTTTTGAATGAGTGCTTTGTTCTGTAGTTGACTCCGGACATTTCCAGCGCCTTTGAGTCGCGGTTTAATGTTAAATTTTATCTTTGTTCTGATTAACGGCGCGAGATCATTGGAGAATTCGGACATTGCTGAATTAGCAGGTTCACGAATGTGGTGAGTGAGCTATGTGTAAATTATTATA